TTGTCTTAAGCTGCTGTGTTCCAATTTTGTCTTTTGTTTTAAGGGTTGGGGTTTTTTGGATTTGGGTTTGTTTTTTTTTTTTTCAGTCAGGGACATTTATGTACCATAAATAATTGAAATCTTTATAAAAGTTTTATTTCAAAGACAGGTTCTGTAAACCTAGTGGGAAAACAAAATCAATTTTACTTTGTCCTGACATAGTACATATTATTCAGTGAGAAATAAACTCAATCCTTATTTTGGAGACTAAAAGCTTAACTTCTAATATGTAAGGAAATAACAGCCAGAGGTGGAGTGATCTCTGGGGCGCAAGTCTTTCTAGTTACTAGACATTTGTCTCTGTTGCATACTGAAAATTAGAATCTGTTGAAATGTTTACGATAATCTATTAAATCATGTCAGTAGGAATAATGGAAGGGTCAAAACAGCTGACTAAGCTTAAAACTATAAGAGTCTGTCGTTCCCTTGGAAACAAATGATATTGGAATTTACACTGACGCTACGTCAATAGGTAAAAGCGAAACAACTTGCAATTTGAGTACTACAGATGACGTTAACATGCGGAGTATTGCTAAATTGTTCTGTTTCATAGTGAATGCTTTTAAAAGCACAGTCATGTGCTAAAATGATAAATATTCATTTTAATCCCAGGTGGGTATGCTGATAATGACACTTTGTTTTGCAGAATGGTGTAACTGGTGTAACCTTATATTCAGAGAACAGATTTAATCTGTGTGTAATTACATAGTAAATTTCCTAGGAATGGGTTTAATTTATGTTGGCCACATACAATTATACTGCAGAATGAGTAGAGAACCCTGGCAGGTTTTGAGGGTCAGAAGATTTCAGAAAACCACTGGGATTTCATGGTGTTTATGGCAAGGTGGTACAGTGGTGACGTGTCACATTCACTGAGTCAGCTTCTTCCAGAATCGTCCTGTAGTACAAAACTGGCATCCAAGTTCAGCGTAAGCAAATTGTTCAGTTTAGAGGAAATTTTCTGGCTGCAGGAATCCACTCTCCCTCCACACCTGCATAATTTGTCATTGAGTTTAACATTTCACTGTTTTCCTACTAAAGTTCCGTCTCTGTCTGCCACGTGGTGAGGGATGAGGCCATCCTTCTTTAAGACGCATATGCTTCGTTCAGGCAGGTACCTAGATACAGGTTAGGTGTTCTTTCAATTTAAGTCTTCTCTGACCACAGGAATTATGCTGATTAAGTCTTGTTGATATCTGGTCCAATTGCTTTACATCTTGCAGTTTTTTCTTAATTAGACAAATAATCTTCTTCTTAGTTAATCAAATTCAGAGGACTTTGCTGATATTCATCAGGACAAAATTCTGTATTTGTGATTCTGTGTTTTGTAATTGATGTGTTTTCAAATATGAGAGAAATGTTACCATGTCATTGTAGAAATATCTATATTTTTTTAAATCTAGCTTCAGAAAATACACTATGCTTTTCTTATAATAGCACAGCTGCAGTGTATGGGCATGCTGATGTGGAAAAGTGACTTTACTTCTTCTAGAATGGCCTGCCTATCTGTACTTACAATTATATTGCATATATGTGTGTGAAACCTTTTAAAGAGTGCTTATCAAATATATGGGAGGCTAAAATCTGGTTATTTAGAATTCAAGAAGGGAAGAATAAGAAAACCAGTTGACCATGGATCTTTCCTTAAACCCAATCCTGAGAATCCTGTTAATATTAAGGAAGTGTGAAAGTGATGTATTCAGTTCTGTGGGAGAATGAGAGTTCTTGAATAATCCAAGTGATGTATGATTAGACCACCATATTTACAAACTTACATTTTTCATTTGAACTGCACGTTGTTGGTCTAAATGACGCAAGTTTGCAATGTAGAAATAGAGGTGACCAAAATAGATGGGCTAATCTGAGGGTTTGTTGGTTATCACATGGGTGCAGAGTTGAATTTTACTGTCTTCAAATCCATGGGCACTGTTCTTGGACACAGTGCTAACAGCCAAAGCTTGATATTGGAGATAATATTGTCCAGAATTAAAAACCTTTGAGGACCTAATAGTTAATAGATCTAATAGCTATGTCTTGTATCTTCATTCTTCTTTCTTTTTTTTAAAAATTATCTTCTAGTAGTACTGAGAGTTTGGTCTGTTTTGTGACTCACTGTGGCAAATTGGTTGTTGGCTTTTTGTGTCCTCCTCCCTGCCCAGCGTGTCATAAAAGATAATATGAAGGAAAATAAAAGTGCATGCATAGTTTATATCAAACTTAATTTAAAAATTCGGGAGATGTCCTAGTTTATGCAAATCGGTATGTATCATTATTTAGAAGGCAATACAGTGAAATCTGTGCCAACTGAATACCCACGGGGCACCATAAGTGGCTGCTTGGGACAGATGGCCTTTAAATGCTCAAGCTACACTGGAATTGTGTGTGGGGTGGGGCGTGGGCCTTTAAAGGACTCATTAAAACAGAGTGTTACCACTTGCAGGTAATTATTTTTTCTTTAAATGCAGGGTTTAACTTTAAGCAAAAGCACAATTTTGATGGCAAAAGAGACCATCGAGCCTAACGTGCTTTTTGTGACGCTTAAAGAGGAACGGAAGCGATGACCTTAGTGAAACTACCTGATTACTTTAGCAGGAAGAAATTCCTCCTTGACCTCTGTTCATTGGCAAATTAAAATGGGAGCATTCTCTGAAGCTTGTCAAGCTGATTACACATAATGTTGTTACTGCTGAGGTGAGCCAGCTCTTTTACAGTGATGTATACCTTGTTTAAAATCACGCATAGCTGGAGCAGTAACAAAAAATCCTATACGTGTTTCGATGTGAAACTTAATGTAGGAGATTTTATTTACATTGCATGTAACGACCAGAATGCTACTATTTATCAGGTATTCTAGCACTAGCTTGGTTTAGTTTGTGTAGGTTCTTTCATTCAATTTGATAGAAAAATTTGAACCAAACCCTCCATGTAAATAATGCTAAATTCTGGAAGGTTCATAATCTTGGCATATAGATTTTCCTGTCAACCCATGATGAGTTTGACTCCATGATCTCTATTTGAGAGAGTTTTTATTTTTTTATAACGCTAATTATCCATATCAAGGATAACCAGATTACTTATGGGTGCTTGTTTAGTTACTAGTAGGTAAACACGCTGAGTCCTGGCGTTATCTCCTTACACTGACTTCACCCCGTGTCTTCTCACCGTCATTCTCAGAGGTACTTCTTGTTCCCCCACCAGATCTGCAGTTTTTCCTTTCCTCTGCTGGACGAATATAATTGAAATGGTCTGAAACCACAATTTTTTGAAATAAAGTTTATCCACGTATTGAAAGAAAAAGCAAAACTTATCAAGAGAATAAAATGTTTTACTGACAGCTCAGCTTTTTATCTACCAGCTATGGAATGTGTTAGAAGATTGTAGTTTTTATGGTACTATTCTGGGAAAACTTAAGAATATTGGGGGGGGGGGGGGGGGGGGGGGTTTTCAT